AGGACTTAAACCTTAAGTGCATTACACCCAGTTAGGGGCCGGCCACAGACCACATTCTGCCTGGCCCATGGTAGAGGCTGGCATCCCTTAGCTGCCCCCCTCTGTCCACTCAATAAAGAGAGTGAGGGTGAGCCCGTGGGGAGGCAGGGGCTCAGATGAGGGGAGAATTAAGAGGAACAGGAAACAACTGGTTGTCGGCCAGAGAGCAACCTGAGTGTGTTTAATCAGCGTTCCCCACTCACCAAACCCAAGGCTCACCTTCAGGCTGTTTGGTTCTCGCTGAGGGTCTCCCTAACCCGCTTATGCTCCTTACTACTCCCCACTACCTACCCCCCCAAATAACAACAACAACAAATGCAGGATTCTTGGTCAATGTAAGAAGTTGACAATCTGAATTGTAACCCCCTACCTAGTACAATAGAAACCGTTGCTTGGCGGCCTGTTGGGGAGGCAGCGGAGAGTGGTATGCGCTGGATAAAGATCTGGGGAGGCCGCCATTACGGAGTGGGGGATACGTGGTACTAGGTGTGCCCATTCTCCCTGAGAAACTGGGAGTCTGGGGTTTTGTATGTGGCATTCCCCCAATGGCCTCCCCTGGCACTGAACGAGATCCACCTGAGATTGGACCAGCCACAGAACTCTGTTTTGTGGCCTCCAGTCACAACCTGTTAAAATGAGCCAGGTCTGTGCCCAGATATGGTGGGTCCCACAGGGGCATTTACAGGGCACGGGACCAGCCCTCCAGTGCCACCATAGTGCCTAGTGGCCTCCCCCTCAGGAGACCGCCCCCAGTGCTCCCTGCAGCAGCCACATAAAGGCGAAGAGGCCAGCGATGTCCTTAGCCGGGTCGACTACGTGAGCCACGTCCCAACCCAGAAGGGAATGCTGAGACGCAGGAAGCAAAAAGGGCATTTTTGGTACCCACGTGGCCAATGACTAGCCCTTGTGGACTAGAAGCCAGGCTCCTAGCTCCCAGCCCAGGAGTCTGTCCTCACCAGCCTCCCCCAAAGTAGGGGTCCAGCCGTTACTGAACGGGGCTTAAAAATTCTTCCCATAACTGCAACCCTTTGAATTTGGACTTAAAGACAAGCAAACAAAACCCACCAAATCCAATGCCTTCCCATCAAGTGCAACTCATATTGGCACCCGGTTTCCACCCCTCGGGGAGGATGATGGAGCTGTGACCGGCCTCGCTCCCTGACGTGCGGAATGAGCGGGTTAGTGGCAACACACTGCTGTCGTTTTTGAAGGACTGTTAGTAACTGTCAGACCAAGGGGAGCGGTACAAGGGAGTCCGATTCCTTTCCTGGTTTTGTTGTGTTTAATTCTTCTCCTAGTGAAAAACAAAAAGCATGACCCGGAAGTGAAATGAGAACTGCTCATCAGCTACGGTAGTGTTGTGTTTTGTGTTGCTTTGTCGGGGAAGAGCATGACTTTGGAGTCAGTTAGATGCAAAGTATGATCTGCGTTTGGATGACCTCCAGCTGGTCGGGGAAAGAATGAGGCAGAGGAGATGCCTTCTTGTTCAACCCAGACTGGGGAGCCCAGCTTCACAGCACCAGATCCGCCACCTCCCCCCCCCACCCCCACAACCCTGGAGAGTCTGTCCTTGTTTAAAAAACCTCTGGTCGAAGTGACATCTTCCACTTTGAAGCCACCTGCCTCTCTTACTGTTTGCCTCTAATGGTGTGGACCAGCAATGTAGGTGGAGCGAGACTTCACTTTTCCTGCAATTAACATTTCTGGCAGCCCAGATTTGAACACTGGCTGATCTTGGGTGCATCGCTCAGTCTTTCTGAACCTCAGTTTCCCCCTCTGTAAAGTGGGGACAATCAAACGAGGCCCGCTCACCGAGTAGAAAGGAGGAAATGAGATTGTGCAGCTGGATTCCCTCCAATTTGGGGCTTCCAGGGGGGCGGGACGTCTCCCAGGGCCCATGCAACTGCCTCAGGCTGCCAGTGACTCCCATTCCCACACTTGTCCCCAACTAGCATCCCACTCACGGATCCTCCCAAGCCAGCTCAAGGTACAAAAGCCAGACTCTCCTCCACAGATCAATTAACTCTCCGTTCGTTCTCGGCCCTCCCTCTCATCAAGCCCATTTTGAAGATTGGGGAGCCGAGGGAGAACGATGTCATTCCATGTGTGCAGAGTCCCCCCCGGCCATGCATTCCCACAACAACCCCACCACTTTTCCACTGCATCCAGCTACACGCCCACCACTTCTGAGAAAAACACAGGCTAGAAGGCCCTCCTCACCAGAGGGCCACGTAGCAAGGTCTGATGTAGCAAAAAACACTGGAAACAACCTAAAACTTCATCGGTAGGGAAATGAGCAAAACAGGAAAACTCTATGCTGCCTTCCTGTCACGGAGTACTACACAGCACACGGGGAGCGCGGTCACTCAGCGGTTTGCCTTCCATGCCAAGTCAGGCCAGGCCTGTCGGTCAGCGGAGGCTTGAGCGTTGCCATGATGCTGAACAATTGTCAAAAGAGTTTTCAGACTAGGACTAGGAAGAAAGGCCTGGCGACCTATAGTGAAACTAGGCCGATGGAAACTGTGGATTACAGAAGTCTGCTCCACAACCGATGGCACAGGGCTGGGCAGCATTTCGTTCCATTGGGCATGGGGCTGCTCTGGACGGCGGCTAACACCAACAATAACAATCCACGGAAGATGAAAGGAATGAGGCCGGTGCCCAGGTAGCAGGCTGGATCGCAGTCAAGATGAAAACCCGGAGTGAAGCAAAGTAAGCACTCGGTGTGCCCCATCTCTCAACTGCGCACCCAAAGCTGGCAACGTGGGGAAGAGCATCCATCCTGCCTCTTTTTTGGTCAGTCCCGTGATTGAACACAGCATTTTGAGTTTCACCAGAAAAAGGGCCTCAGCGATTAGACACGAATACAGTGAGTTTACATTGCTTGAAAATTCAACTAACATTCTAAAAATAAAAATGTTAAGTGCCTTGGGTCCCGGAATTTTCAGACATTCTGGTACACACACACACACACACACACACACACACACACACACACACACACGAGGGTAAGTGTGTGTAAGCACAAAAGGATTGCTGCTCAGATCCTAGTTCAGAAATGCACAGGTTTGTTCCAAACAAAATGTCTAAAGGGCTATAGACAAATTCTCTTGGCAATAGACTTGACATAGTCGCATTAGGGCGCCTTAGAGGGGCCCACTTAGACAGACTTCTGGGGGGATCCTCTGGGCCAGTTAAATCCAAGGCAGAGGTCTGTTCAGGGGGTTATGGTGACTGGTTCTGGAGTTTCCAAGGAGCAACTTTGATAGATTTTCTCAAAGGACGCAGACTAACCCAGGGCTTTACAAAGAACTTTTACAACAGAAAATGGTACTGGTGAGAAAAGGGCAGAAAGTTGCCCCAAGGATTTTCTTTTCCCCCAGCACCACCGTGCCCTGCTCATTCATTAAGGGTACCAGGGCTGTCCTACCAAGAACTTCACCGGGACATCCTATGCACCCTCCAGCCCTGATCTTGCCCCCTTCAGACTTCTTGTTGGGTCCAAACTCAAAGAATATTTAAAAGGAGCATGCTGTGAATCCCTCAAGGATGGCAAACTGCCTTTTGGCCCTGGTCGAAGTCAGAGTGTGGCCTTCTTTGGGAAAGGGTTAGAGAGGCGGAAACGCTGCTTTCAGAAGCCTGCAGACCTAGGTGGGGGACATGTACAGAAGCGATAGCTTCACATTTTGATATTTTGCTGAATGAAGTTTTCTATGACTGGTAGCAATACGTTTTTACTTACCCTACCCACCCCTCCACACACACATGTTACAGGTTGGGCTACTACCCGAAAGATCAGTGGTTTGAAACCACCAGCTGCTCTGTGGGAGAAAGATGAGGCTTTCTACTACTCCTGTGAAAAGTCAGAGTTTCTAGTCTGAGGGGACTTGATAAGTAAAGGCAGTATGGCAGCCTGGATCAGGTCCTGGAAGGGAAAGAGGACTTTCATGGAGAAAGCGGTGGGATCAAATACAGTCTGGAGTGTAGTTGCCATTAACGGACCAGTTGTGATAGATGTGCTGATGGGTGAAACTGGGTGAGGTGTGTACGGGACTCCCTCAACTGTTCTCGTAACTTTTCTGTAACTCTAAAACTATTTCAAAAGGAGAGAAAGTGAATGAGTGAGTGAGAGAGAGAGACAGAGAGAGAGAGAGAGAGAGAGAGAGAGAGAGAGAGTTTTAATAGCTGGGCTGTTTCTGCCAAACTGGTTTGGAGAGAGGACTGGAATACAGGGGAGGGGGTTGGAGGAGTGTCATTCTTGATCTGTACCAGCTTAACCATTTGTTTTAAGTCAAACATATCCAGCTGGTCTTGGTGCAATTAAAAAATACATATTTTAAAAAGGAAAAATACTGCCTTCCGCCGCCTCCCTGATTTTCAGAGTCCCCGCTGTGCTTCTGAAAGCCAACTTCTCCGTGGAAAAGGACCCCTTCCGGACTTGAGACCCACCTCCTCCGCCCCCACGGGGAATTCAGGAGGGGGAGCCTGTCTCAGTCTGGGTCTCAGTCTCTCCCCTCCTACCCCCCCCGCCCCTGCAAAAGGAAACCCTGGGCCCACCCGCCCATCCAGGGCTCCCCAGCCTCAGCGCTCCCATCTGTGTAATGGGATGAGCGCTGTTCCCACAGGATTACAAAGAGCTTGATAGGAGTAGCTGCTGCTAGGGTGGGGGTGGGGGGTGGGGGACGGGGATCGCCCACCGGAGCTCAGATGTCCCCAGGCCCCCCCCCGCGGTGTCCCCACCTCCCAGAGTTCTTGTCCCACTCTTGGGTGAAAGGGGTGTCGGCCCCGACGCCCCTTCTGCGGGGCCCTGAGACGTCCGTCTCCAGCGGTCTCGCGCTTAGGGGTGAGCGGTGGGCAAGTGCCGGGGGCCTGGGGCGGGGGACCCCCCCAGGGTCTGCGGCTGGCTGGGGCAGGCACCGAGGCGTCCCCTTTGTCCGCGGGGGCCAGGGCCGGGGACTCACCGCGTGCGCCGGCGGGTCAGCAGCAGCAGCAGCAGCAGCGCGGCCAGGAGGCCGAGGAGCACAGCCCAGGGCATGGCCGGCGGCGGCGCGGGCTCGGCGAGGATGGGATGGCCACTAGCGGCTCTCCGCGTCCTGGTCCCTGGTGCGCCCGCCCCCAGGGCTCCCTCCTCTTTTTCCTCCTCCCCCTGCCCTCTCCGTACTTCTTCTCCCTCCTCCCTGGCCCCCACCCCCTTCCTCTTCTGCCGCTTTCTCCACCGCCACCCTCACTCCGGGCCAGCTCACCCCTCGCCTCTCTCCTCCACTCGCGCAGGACCCTCAGCACCGCCACCCCCGCCCAGCCTCTCCCCAAAGGCCCCCTTCCTCGCAACAGGGCTCCATTCTCCACACACCCTGACCCCCACACCCCCTCTCCACAACCTGGTGCACTCCTTCGCACCACCTCCCCACCTCCCTTTCGCACCACCTCCCCACCTCCCTCCCTGCGGTTCATCCCTGTAACTGTGGAAGGGGTGGGGGACTTCAGAGCTCCGCTGGGGCCGCTGGGGGCCCTCTGCCCCACCTCCAGCAACTCCAGCAGAGACAGATCCCCAATCCTGAGCGGGAGAATGGGGAGGTGGAAGAGGTAGGTTGGATGGGGCAGGTAGGTGTGGGAGGGGAAAGGGTTGTGGAGGAAGGAGTGAACCTGGTTAGGGGAGGGGTGGTGGTGTCGGGGTGCATGGGGTGGGAGATCCTGTACTAAGAGGGCAGGGATGTTGGGGAGGAGGGTGTAAGGGGGACCTGGGGGGCATTTCCACCAAAACAGACCCCACCACCCCAGCTGGCTGACCTCAAGCCAGAAAGAAACCGAATTCACTTGCACGGATATTCCAAACCTGTACGACAGGAGATTCCAATTCACAGGGACCCTCTGGGACAGGGCAGAACTGCCCCTATGGGTTTCCAAGGCAGCCCAGATCTGTAGAAAGCCTCATCTTTCAAGTGCAGAGCAGCTGGTGGTTCTGAACCGCTAATCTTGCTGTTGGCACCTCGGTCTGTAACCCACAACATCAGGCTGGCCATCCAGCTGGCTAAATGAGCAAGGGGTTCAGGACACTCACCTTCCAGGCTCCTCCCACTCTAAATACATAGGGTCCCCCAGAGTTCTGTTGAGTTGGGCTGGGCTGGGATAGGTGGGCAGGGGCTTGAGTTTATCATCCAGTACAGTATCTTTGATGAGGACGGTGCACGGGTTACAAGAGCCACCCGAGCTTGTAACTGCCTGGGTTTACCTTCTAGCTCTGCCACCGACTGGCTAGGTAAACCTGAGCTCCCACTTAACCTCTCCGTGCCTCGGTGTCCCTATCTGCAAAAGGGATAGTCCCTTCCTCGCAGAATCTGTTCCAGAGAACAAGGCTGAAGGAGTTTTCGTTATCATAGATATTCTGATGCTCAGTGATGACTGGAAGTGCATTTATGTATAAGGACCTCTGCTGTGAAGAGGGAGTCCTAGACTCCCCAGGGGTGTGGCTCAAGGTAGGTCACTTAATCTACAAAGTGGGGTTCCTGAAAGTACCCCCCTTCAGAACTCATAGGAGAATGCAGTGAGATCTCTGAGCATGTCGCTTTGTTCTCTATTGGTCAAGTTGTCGTCCTCATTGGGGGTCATGGAGTGGAGACAGTGACCCCATCCATCCGGGCACAGCAGAAGGAAACACCGCCTGCTTCTTTGCCCTCCTCACGCCTGTTCCTATGCCCCAAACCATCGTGGCAGGCACTGTGGCGATGTATGTGGTTCAGGGCCTTCCTCTTGTTTGCTGCCCCTCTACTTTCCCACGCACAATGTCCGTCTCCAGGGTCTGCTCTCTGCTGACAACCTGTCCCACAGTACGTGAGATGATGCCTCACCCTCCTTGGCCCTGGGGAGCACTCTGGCTGTCAACCAAACTCTCTATGCTTTATCCTTTTTTCACTTTTGACACAATAGTCCCGAAGCATCAGAGATTGGGACACATGGGAAGGTGGTGCTGAGGCCCAGGGAGATGTGGGGTGACCAGCCCACAGCCATGCCCACAGTTTGCAAATGCGGCACACAGCCTGGCCTCGTTGAAAGGTCAGGCTCTGGATGTGATGTGAGTACCAGCAGAAACAGCCCCCTCCCAAGCCCCCACCCTGCTGTGCCAGTTCCTCACCTAGAAAGAGACAGGTCAGCGAGGTCCCTAGCCCAGGGCCACGGTGAGGCATTCATGAGAACTTGTCAGTGGAAAGGCAGAGCACACTGCTGCGTGCTTGGCACAGGTGCGTTTGGTAGAGTGATGGTGGTCCCTGGCTGGGCCCACAGGTGTGGTTCTAGTGCTGTGTCTACGCTCACTGCTGGGGGGCTTTCAAGCAGGGGTGGGGCCCCTTTTAAGTAGCTGTTAGACTCCTTCCTGGCCCAGCTTCGGTCCTCACCCTTACTGCCCATCCTCCCCACAGTCGGTGGAAGGGTCCTGCTACAACCTAGTCAGATCCTGTCACTGACCTCTGCTCTCAGCCCTCCATGGCCCCCACCTCCCTCAGGGCAAAAGCCAAGCCCTCACAAGGGCCTGCGAGGGCCAGCCTGATCTGCCCCCTCTCTACCTCCCTTCCCTGTCTTCCTCCATCACCCATTCTGCTCCAGCCGCTCCAGCCTCCCCCACCTCCCCAAGCACAGGTGTCCCAGCCCCATATCAGGGCCTTG